GGCGAGTAACCAGTAGAACCATACTCTGACCAGTGCTGCATCACTAGGTGCATTGGTTTGCTGAATAGATGATCTGTTTTTCAGGAAGATTTATCAGGCGCAGCAATTGGTTTATTGCGCTTGCAAGACACATATCGTTTGGATACCACCGATATTGCGAATGGAAAAATCCTGGATTCCAAAATGAGAACTGTAGCGTTGACTGGTCAGCTTTTTTTAAGCCCCAAGGCCTTCAAAATATTCATTGTTGGCGATTATTTTTAATATTTTTCATGATGCATTTTCGTTATTATTTATCATAATTACCGCAGTGGTAGGGCGAAATCAGAAAACTTATCCCAGTTAAAGTATTTAATAAAAGTGAGTGCACGATTATCATCACTGTATTGGCACGCTTTTAACATTAATGGGGAACTGGTGTAAGTGCTAATAATTTCCACTTCCAATGAATGTTTAAGAAAAATACCAAAAAATGTTTAAGTTTGTTGCATCAACAGACAAATTATGATCGTAAAAAACTGGTGGCCTGTGAGATCCCGGCCCGTCTTGCTCTGCATGTCTTTTGCACTCATCGCACCGAGTTCGGGGTTGCAGTAACTGACAAACTGCTGTAACATTGTGACGGCATTGACAGTGCTGAAATAACCTTATAGCAAATGTAAATTGAGCAAAAATAATTTTATTTCATATAAAAAAGAAAGTTTTAGCTCACTGCTAATTAGACGTACTACTTCCAGTTCATCATCATATCGGATCGCGTTAAAAAGTACCAGGAGCTTATCTGGCATTTCTGGGATAATCCTCTAGTGCGGGAGATTTTTTCATAATGTGAGCAGGTTATTTTACAGCTGGTGATTGCTTCGAAATTGGTCGTGCAGCATACAATGCCTACGATTACTATCACACGATTCTGTGGATGCAGGAGGCGCGTGAACGTGTCCAGAAGGAAGCTGTCCCAACGGTTTCGCTGGAAGACGTTCTCGAATATCTGGCTTACTCACTGTACAAACAAGGCAATCTGAAACGCGCCCTGTTGCTCACCGATGAGCTATATCGGATGAGTAAGTTTTTGTTTATCATTTACTGTTGAAAAAAGACAACCTTTTCTGCCCGTTCAGTTGATCGCATTTTTGTTATAGTTGTTTTTTTTTAAATTTATTTTTTGTTATACGTTTATTTGTTTCTTTATTTATATTATGTATTTTTACATTTGTTGTTATATTTTTTCTCATATGTGGTACTGCATTTACTTCAGTGTCATTTTTTTTTTGTAGTTTTATACTTTTGGTACTTATAATACGACTTTGCAATGAAATTTGAGCCAATTTAATCCAGAAAAAAGGTTTTTTAACAAAATATTGTAGTGAAGAAGAAAAATGTCACACGTTGGGCGGCTCTTTTAGAAGGATTGTTTACTGACAAATCAATATACAGATCAAATAACCGTTCGCAGGCTATATAACACTTGTGCGAACAAATGGAAATATATTTCTAAACGAAAAGTGGCCCGACCTACCGCAAGCATTTGCACGACTGTAGGGAGAGTAGAGGAAAAATGAGTGTGATTTCAAGCTACTGTCGTAATGGAGCGACAAAAACGGATTTTTTCAAGATTTATTGTTAATGAAAAAAAAAAAAGAAATATAGTAAAATGAAGAGGCAGGGCAGGGATAGTGAACTTTCTGCACTAAATTATGGTTTATTTATGATATCTAGTCTAAAATGTAGTGGTTAACCTAATAATTCATAGTAAAAATAGTAACAAATGTAGTAGGAAACAGGAAAAAAGGAATCTTTCTGCATGTTTCATTTTTGGATCATAAGGCCCGAAGAATGCTATTTTTCCATGTGAGCGCACTACTACTTCCACGTGTTTGCTTAAGAAGTGAGGCTAATTGTTTGCAGACCCGGATCATCCGCGAGCAAAAGGTAACGTGAAATGGTATG